ATAAGAATTTAGGGAGCTCATAAGGAAGGAACACTTGGGCTGATTGCACCAGACAATGAACACATTCTCTGTTGGATACTATTTTTTCTATTAGAAGCAGAAGGCGCAGTGGCAGCCTGAGGGTCCATTTAATATATGAGCAACATTTTTTTCAGAGGAATTATTTTCACTGCAGCTAAAAAGTGCTTCGGAGTTAGCTGTTAACATCTCATTTCTTGAATTAAAATGAGAATTGTTAATCAGGCATGAACAAGTAGCAGGCTAGGGGCTGTATCTTAGGCCCATCTTTTATCCCAATACTGTGATATTTGCTTTACTCACATGGTATTCTCTACGATATGCCCCCTGGGTGCTATTATTCCCTTTTACTCCCATTTTCAATGATAGCTGTTTCCTGAGGGGACTGACTTATTTGTGTGCTAATTTAGTGACATAAAACTTGATAGCTCACCATGGAGATTGGGTTTAAAGTGAGAGAACTTTTTTGGCAAACCTTTTTTATATCTTTATCTCAAATAGAGGTGTTGGGGGGATGTAGAGAATTTGTAGGCAGCTATGAAACATAATCCAAACTTGATTTTTATACCCGTAAATGTATTTATCAGACTTCATAAAAAACTGAAGATTGACATAGTGGCATGTGGATGAAGGAGAAACTAAAATTATAAATATATTCAATTCCACTAAGCATATAAATGCATTGGCCTCTATTAGAGGCTTAATTACCTCCACAAAGAAATCTGCATTCTTGTATAGCAGCTCAGCAGCCTGACCTCTTTCAACTTCCTTCCACAATTGCTTTCTGTAGACTGCTTATGTCTGTCACACACTCAAGTTAAAAACAGAAATGATGAAATGGACGTTATATTTTTTTGTTTCAGCTGTTGCTACTTTTCTCATAACAATCATCACAAAACACAAGGCACTAGTTTGCCTTGTAAATACAGTATATAATTTATTGTGTGTGGCCAATGTGCAGTAATGTGTCTTCCTCTGTAATGCTTGCCATGTAAAGATGTCAGGATCCAAATCACAGTATCTAATAGGGTTGTGCAGTGCTTTGGATTTGATGAGAAAAGGATGCTTTGGAAAGCAACTTGTGCCAAAAGGAGCACATATCTACAACTCTTTCTACAACTCTTTAAAGCAGTTGTGTTTTGTCTGGGATTGTATGCCTTTTTTCCACAGCTGCCATTGGAGAAGAGCTGCAGAGAACAGCTGTTCATACCTTTTGTGCTCACAAAATACTTCTATGGAATTAAACCAAATCTCTGTGTGGCCCTAATATTAAAACTGAAGCCTTTAAAAAGTAAGAGGATAAACTGTATTAAAAGAGGAAAGGTTAAAGGCAGGTTAGAAAAGAGGAGAAAATAACCACAACTTTTTTCAACTGGTTGTTCTTCAAACATTTTGTCTGTTCTTTGTTTTATATTTGCTACTGTTTTTAATGTTTATTATACTGTAAGCTGTCCAGAGTAGTTTGAAATGAGATGGGCAGCAAATAAATTTAATAAATAAACATGCTGACTTCAATGTCCAACATTTTCAGCTATCATGGCAAGAAAAAAGTTGAATCACACAATTTGGGTATTGCCAAGACAGTGGCTCTTTCCTAATGCATAGATCAAGCCATGCCATTTGATGCAAACTAGCACCCCACCTCAGGTTTTTTACATGCCAAAGAGTTTTATTTTTAACTGTTGCTTACAAGACAACTTTCCCATGTAGCCACTGAATTGCTTTGATTTTGTTTTTAAAAAACCCTCAAAATAGTCTTGTAGATTTGCTCCCTGCTGCCCCAGTTATGCTTCTTCTGAGTGCCTTCACAGGGCCTGGCCAATATCAACCCAGCATCAAGCAATCTGATACTCTAGGGGTGGGTGGGGAGTATAAGCCCTTTGGAGGAGAAGCAAACTTGTGGCTCTAAACACAACTGAGTATAGACTTGGTTTAAACAAAATGCTCATAACCAGCAGTAACTGGCCAAGAACTAGTCAGACGCACCGAGCAAAAAACAGAATTAAAAAAAAAAACAATACTAACTAATGCAAAGCATGATTGCCCACTGCCTACAATAGGTATGTTTTCTGCAAATTTTCTGAAGTTGGAGACTATATATTAAAAGACGACTCAAACCATCTTGTTAAGGCTTACCTATTAAGAGTAGCCAATTGCTTTGTGGCAGTGTACTCACATCAGAATCTTGACAATAGCACCAAAAAAAAAAAAAAAAAAACCCCACCTAACAACAAAAAAAAACTGCTGAGTAGCAGTGAACATTATAACTGAGCCAAAGTAGTAAAATATGATTCTGAATATTTATATATATAACGGAACAGTAACGGCAACAGAAATGGTTCCCAATTGCCTGCTACATTTAGGCCAAAAATTTCTCCTGGCTTAGTTCCAGAAGAGGGAATGTTTTTGTTTTGGTGGAGTGAGACTAACCTAGGATTTGGCCCCTTAAAGGTAAATGGGAGGTCATCAAAACTCTAGAGTTTGCTGGGCTGGCTGAGCTATTCAATCTCTTACTCCATCTACTGTTCTTGCGTCCCAGGGAGCATGCTGGAAAGCTGAGGAGCTGACAGACAAGGAAACCAGGATTTGGAGTGAGGGAACAGTCTGTTTTCAAATCTGTAAAATCAGTATCAAAGTACTAAGGTGGAGTGGTCCCAGTATGCCTCAGTTACGGGCAATGTGTGACTGCCACTTTGTTGTTTAAAAGTTTTTTAAAAAAAGTCCGAAAAGTGCACTGGATTAATGCCAATGGAGCCCTTTTGGAATCCAGAAAAGATTAAACTGAAGGCTGGATGCAACACCCAGGGAAGGGGATAGCAGGGGGCATTCAATTCCTGGAAGCAATGAAGGCAGCATTCTGAAATGGATGCTATATGGGATTAGGCAAAAGCATAGGGAAAACCTAGGGCTCTGTGGGCAGATAACGAGCCAGAAGTAGAAAAAGCCTTTTCTATTTTGCATTCTCCATGTAGCTCATCCATATTATCCATGTATCCATCCATCTTATGGCATGCTGGCTGGGGAATTCTGAGAGTTGAAGTTCACACATCTTTAAATTGCCAAGTTTAAAAAAAACACTGGTTTATCCCAAAGGAATAATTAAACAGGGCAGCCAAGTTTGATTTTTTGTTGTAAAAGAAAAAAAGAAGAATCCTTGTCAAGCCAAAAAATTTTTGGTTGTTGTTGGTGTTTTTTTGCGGTCACTCATTCCAATGAAACTTTGTTCTTTTTATATCTTAGAGATTTCTATCCCACAACTTCTGCAGTCCAAAACAACATCAAGGGTAATAAGGAGTAGAAAAAGGGCTTTACCTTATTGGGATGCCAGAAATGTCTTTCTGGGGAAATAATTCTAAAACCAGGATGGCCATGACTGTCTGCTAGTTGAGGACACCCAGAAGTGCTTCCAAATCCCCTCCCATGCATGAGTGCTGGATTTGGCTGTCCCATAGCAAACAGCTCAGCCTTCCCCATCTCACTTGAAATATAGTAGCTATATAAGTATAGGGCACGTTTATCCATAAGTGAAGAAATCATTAAGCAATCACTTATTATACAATGTGTAGCAATATATAAGAGCCAGTCCAGTCTAATGGTTAAGGTACCAGTCCTGCCTTAGTCATGAAAGCAAGGTGGGTGTCTTTGGGTCAATCACTCTCTCTCTCAGCCTAATCCACCTCACAGGATTGTTGATCTGAGGAAAATAGAAGGAAGAAGTTGTATAGGGAATGTTCACTGCCTTGAGTTATTGTAAAAATAATAAAGGCAGGAAACAAACAAACAAACAAACAAAGCATTATATCTAGTAGCCCATCATATTATGCAATCAGGAAACAGGACAAAACCAAATGTTTTAAAAATTAAAAATATAGTTCATTAAATACAGTTTAGTGCCTGCGAACACATTGTTATACATAGACATTTGGGCTCTGCTTAACAAGTAAGATTAGGAGGTGTGGGGTGGGGGAAGCTAAAACAATGTGTAAGTGGCCTGTAACATATATTTTCGTTCACTTGAACTTTAGCAGGAAATGAATATAAAGCTCACATTTCAGTGCCTAGTTGAGCATCCTGGGACAATTGATTAGTTGATAATAAGTGTCTGTCATCAGGCAATAAATCATACATTCAGGAAACGATAAAGAAAGCCTTTTTTGTCTGATGACAGACATTTGCAGGGAAAACTTTATATTTTTAGTTCAAAGAAAGGCAAAGAAAGGTTCTCTCTTTCAGCTTTCTTCCTGGAGTAGGATGAAACTTCCCTTGCAGAAAGTTGGGTAAAGTCATTTCTCCCATGAACATTTTAACGAAAGTGCACTTTAGTGTTCTTGACATCTACAGGAGAGTAGTAGCTGATTTATACTCATTGAGAAGCTGGCCATGATCAAATTGGAAAAGGTATTAAATGCATTTTGAAAGCTTGAGCTCCAAGTGTAAAATAAAATATTGCCAACCTGCCATTGACACACATGTTCCAAATTGCCTCTTGATCAGATATTGTTTTGTTTTGTTTTTAAACTGAGGGTCATATATTTCAAGATAGGTTGCTTTGGACCTCAAGATTGCTATAGCAGAAGGAAAATTTTACAGGAGCCTATAAAACTTAAATATTTGGGTAATTACTTCCTTTGATGTATACTTTATATGGATTATAATCTACACATCAGCTTTGACCATTGCAATGTATTTGGGATATATTTAGATCACAACACTCAAAATTCTCAGGCAGGGTGCCCAGAAACTAGGAGCTACGGGTCTAAGACATCTGGAGGGCATGATCTTAGAGAAGGCTGATATACGGTTTGAGAATAAATCAAACAGCCAGTCAAGGCCATTTTATTACTGTATTCCATTTTGCAAAACTTACTCATCTTTTTCCAAATACTTAAACTATCTCCGGAGACAAAATGTATATGACCTGATACAAATCTTTATACAGCAGATATTAAAAAGTTAGGCTTTCAATGGTTTGACAAGGTTGATAAAGAAAAGATATTTATTGCAATTGAAAAAGAAAATAATGTTTGCAAATAATAGTCCATTTGACATATTTGATAAGGCTGAAGTCTTTAGGGAAGGATCACTAATGTAAAGTGATATTTATAAGTTTCCCTACATACAATATAGAGAAAAGGATAGTCAACAGTAATTATATCAGTAGCAACTACTTCCGTGGGGAAGTTAATTATGGATATGGCTACATCACAGACTGAATCTGGTAGAAAGGCCCTAAGGCATGTTGGAAGTTTGAGGGAATCTGGAAACATGGAACAACGATCTATACACACCTTCTGCAAATTGTAATTTTTAACATTCTTTGGAAAAAGCCATGATTCTAAAATTGATAATCAGAATCTAGCATGGATTTGCAGTGTAGCAGTACCACGAGTTAAAAACTGGACATGACCAAAGATAGTGTAATGAAGAAGAAAATGCCTATTTGTTTTAAATTGGTTTAGTATAACTAGTTGTGAGTTTTAAGACTTGAACTTGTATTTGGATCACTATGTATTTCTAATCAAATTAATTGATCTTGTTGGTACAGGACAGGTAGTATTAAAGTACAGGAATTTGGGGGAATGTTGGGAGTGTGTAGAAAAGCAGATGTGTTTGAAGTCCTTGTATAGTTCCAGATATGAAACTGGCCTATATGAATATAGTTTTCTTGATATTTTTGAGCACTTAACTAAGGAAAATCATAATAATGGAATGATTAGACAGACTTAGCTCAACACATTAGTGAGAAATTGTACAGCCGTATACAATGAAAGGAAATACATTTGTTATAGCATTCCAAACAAGAAGGAAGCATTATTAGATTTATAACACTTTTGGACATATAGTGATATATTTGGATTATGCCAAATATATCCAGTGGAAGTGATAAAATAAAAATATTTTTTAAAATACAGTAATGAAGGCAAATGCTAAAATATCATACACCTTTTGACTTTATATTTCACTTTTGCATACATTTATTTTTGATTAGGTATGCCACACTAGCACAAATAACTGAAAATATAGATTTCGGAGACATTCTCAATCATCATTTGCTCATCAATTTGAGCTAGCATACAGTACATTAGACAGAAAAAGCTGACAGGGCCCTGATAAAAGCTGCTTGGAGTTTCAGCCATACTTAGCTTTCTCTGTAGCCAAAGCCAGCCTGCGGATGTTTGCTATGCAACCAGCTGCTGCTTCCTGAAGAGTTTCATCCGTAGAGCCTGCCATACCCAGCAGAAGCTTGTTAAAAATAAAAGTGCAGGGGGAAAAATGAGAAAGGGTTCCAAACCAAAAACATTACACTAAAAATAAATTATTTTAAAATAACACGCCTGCAGAAATCCATCCAATAATGAATGAAAATAGCCATGTGTTTCACATTCTGGAATCAGCTGCTCAAAGCTGGATTTTCAATAGCCTCTTTCGAGAAAATACACTAGCCAAAAGCACAACACGTTTAAAAAAGAATGGAATAAATGCATTTAAGACAAGATAAGTATCAGGGGAAAAAACATTCAGACCAATCCTGTTATACACACAGACATAATAAAAAATATTACATTGGTATTGTAGTGGCAAATGCTCAGGATTGGCATTTAAGCAACATCATTTTGGATGTTGGCCTTTCAAAAAAGTTCCAAGTTTTCCCACTTCCAATGGAAACATTCTGAAAGTTTAGATGCTCCTGTATATTAATGGCTGTATTTAAAAAACTCTTGCTCTTAGCAATAGAACTTCAATCCGGTTTTTGTTAGAATGTTGGCCAATAGATTTATGTCGTCTATGGGGAGTAAATAGTTCCAAAAATTGAAATACACTCTGATCATTCAAAACCTAAATCTATTTTAGACAGTGTACAGAGACTACTAACTCTGTTCAAACACTGAACAATTCGTCAGGACTAGGAATTTTTAAAAAGTGGACTTTAAATTTATGATAAAATAAAAAACAAACCAGTTATCTTATTTTTGTCTTTCTTTCTGAAAGAAGATGGCAGGGATTATCAGTCTGTAGGTAGGGGGAGAAAAAGCCCAAACCAGCAAAAGATTGGAAAATCAGAAGGAAATAAATTTATCTTATGGTCTGATCTGAACAGTTTCTTTTCTTAGATTTATTTTGTTTTATCACTTAGCATGTGTATGTGCATTTCTTCCTGAAAGATTATGAATTAAGGCATGTAGGAGTAAGAATGTTTTCTCCTATTTTCTTCAAGTCTCCGCTGAGTTCTAAATTAAAAAAAACAAAACCTTTATATACAACTGGAAATTTAGCTTTCAACTTTTTAGTGTATCTAGGGGCAAACCCAACATTCTACCACCATCTTGACTTTTTTGATTACTTAAGCCTATATATTCAGTTCCTCTGCTAGCTATAAAATGGCAAGAAAACAGAGTAAGTTTCCACTCTTTTGCTCCTGAATAAATGTACACCAAGAGATTTTCTCTGTAAAAGATTAGCAGCCCAGCTATAAAACAAGCTCTCCGCAAGAGTGGGTGAGAGCACAAGAATAAGGATTATAGGGGACTCTGCTTAAGTTAGCTATCCATTATAATCTCAGGCATGCACTGCAACTGTGTGCCATATTCATCACCCAATATACACATTTCATGGAAAGCAGCGTGGTCAATTCAGATTTAAGAAAGTCTCCTAATTTTTATTATGGCAACCGCAGGATTTTAAAGCATGTAGCCTTAATTAAAAAATATTTTTCAATCTGTAGCTTTTAGTGTTCTGAATATAAACAACATTGAATTCAACCACAAAAACATGTTACCATTCAATCTTATGTATATTTTTATACTGCTGCATTATGAAACTTTTATGAGTAGCTACATATACAAGCAGAAAGTTAACACAAATGTAAATACTAATCACTACCATTCATTAGCCTTACAACTGTTGGGAGACAGGAAATCTAACTGCACACATCTGAGATATGCTTATGAAGATCAATTTTATATTTTAGGAAGTATTTGTGTAGAATGTAAGCATCTTGTCAGTCACCTCTCTTTCTCTGATCTTTAGGTGTCACCATAAAACATTCAAGCTTTTGCTTCACCTCCCATTTTTTAGTTTGTACATGTTTACCATAGAATCACAACAGATAATCCTCAATTTACAACCACAATTAAGACCAAAATTTCAATTGGTAAGTAAGTAGTTGTGAGTTCCGGCTTCCGTTGCAATTGGTACGCTGCAATGGGGCTGGGCGTCCACCATGTGCATAGCGTGCGCATGCGTACCCACTGCCTGCGGTGCTCCAGCTGCTTGGCGGAGAGTCGCTTAGGCACCACATGCCCCTTGTGTGTGCGCAAATGCCCCGGTCAGTTCAAATAGTGGTAAGGAGAGTGGGTGGGCAGGTGGGCCCTCCAGAGTACCGTACTGTACTGGAACAGTACCTGATGCTCCCAGCAGGCACCAGTACGTCTGTACCAGGGCATACCAGTCGCATCCCACTACTGTAAGTATGGCAGTGAAGTAAGTTTTGCCTGATTTTACGTGTTTTTTTGCCACAGTTGTTAAGCAAATCACTGCAGTTGCTAAGTGAATCATGCTATTGATTCACTTAAAGGGCCACATCTGGCTTCCTCCATTGACTTTGCCTGTTGGAAGTTAGCTGGGAAGGTCACAAATGTATCACGTGACTCTAGGACCGTGAATGTAATGAGTACCTGCCAAGTATCCAAATTTTGATCACATAGTCATGAGATCCTGGAACCATCGTAAATATGCAAAACAGCCATAAGCCATTTTTTCCAGTGTCATTGTAACTTTGAGCGATCACTAAATGAATGATTGCAAGGAGTACCTGTATTACACGTGTTACAAACTTCTGTAATGCAGTTCACAGAATCACAGGATTTTGAGAAGCAAAGTTTTCAGGAAAAGTTATTCTTTGCCCTGAGTCAATTGAATTAATTTGAATGAGAAAAAGCAAGTTTTGCTTTAATCCCAAATAGCATCAGCAGACTTCATTCAAGGGCAAATGCCAACATTACTGCAAGGAAGTAAGATACTACAGTAGCAATATGTGATTCTATTGCTACTGTAGTATCTTACAATCTAGAATCACAATCTCAGGTGAGTCAAAGCATCAAACCAAGTGATTAAAAATGTTGTTTATATGAGTCTAAAATAACATCAAGCACCTAGTAACAATTGATGGGTGTCGGAAATTGATCAGACAGCTCTGGCTCCAGCTGATGGATAAATTATTCCTTTCTATATTGATAAAGCAAGCTCAAAAACTTTTAGATTTTCAGGTAATCCATTTACTTGTGTTTGAAAATTCTCCCAATTGCTGATATTGAAATACTTTGAGATGTAAAGCAAGACACTTGATTATAGATTTATAATCTATAGCTATAATGTCCTTTGTAGATAACCATTCAGTCATTATTCTCCATCTCCCTTTTTGAACTGTTCACAAAATATGTCTATTGAAAAATGATTTGGTAAATGAGGGAGAATAGAGTATTATATACAATATATCCCTATACAGTCAATGCTCATCTCCTCCAAAGAAAGGAGTTAGTTTCTTTCTCTTTTACACATGCATAATCAAGCTGTTAATACATAATTGTAATAAGAACAATAGGGTTGTATAGAAGTGCACACAGCCTGTGGAACCTTGTTCCATTGTTGAAGCTATTTTTGAAAAAGTTTGAGATGGGGATTTTTGAGTACAGGCCTTTTGCTGTACTCACAGAAAAATAAACTTTTTGTAGGAAAAATTGAATCTCAGAGTTAGCACCTCTTGGTAGTATTGCCCTCAAGGATAAGAGGTGTGTTTGACTGGGGAAAACTGCATGTTTTCAATTACAGAAAACTTTTATCATCTTTAAAGTTGGGGAGTTTGTCTCATGGAGTTGGAATGCAAATTGAGAGTTAACTAAGCATTCCATGGCTCACCTAACTACTTTATGAAGAAAAACTAAACATGTGAAGAGTTGAATGAACTGCATTTTGAGTACAATGTCGCTATTGCTATAGAAATATTTAACTGGCCTGATTTGTCTTGTGATTATTTAAAATTGATACTCTTTCAACTGGACAGGAATTACATTAAAGTAATCTGTTTGATACATGGTGGTATTTGTACCTGAACAACCTTCAAACTCAATATGTTTGTGAAAAATGCAATACACAAATAAATTGATTTTGACACTAATTATATGAACCCAACTAACAGGCTCCTAATCAAGGCACAGCTGTTAATAATTTGTTGTTATTATGGAATGAACATGACTCCAGAGTTGCAAATCAGTTTTACCAAATACAGAGCCTATTGAATGTTATCAATGACATGAATAAGGTGCTTTAAGAGCCTAGCATTGCTATGCTTCGTTGATAGATAATGTAACACACAACTTGGTGTGGCTTTTTCCCATAAACCACTTGTGTTTTCTGAAGTGCCTTCCTCCATTCAGTTCCTGAAAGTCATCTCCTGTTTTTATTTTCTGCCACAATCTGCAGTTCTGATGAGCTTTCAACTGTCACATATTGCTTCATGAAGCAATTTCCCTATGAATCCAACAGATGAATTAAAGGCAGACATATAATCATATGCCTGACTTAAAACCAAAGTTATGTATGTACATAGAGTAACTACAATGATTTCCATAAAGTTTGACATGAAACAAGGAAAATACTATTTATTATTATAGACTGTATATTCACAGATCATCTTTTGTTTTCTTACTATCTTAATAAATCTCAAACATAACTGCTATATATATAGTGATGCCAATAAAAGAAAATATTTGTAGTTCGGGTTTAAAACATTCTTATCATGTTCTTGTGATCAAAAGCATTATTATTTCTCCTCTCCTAAAACATGTTATTTAGTAGCATTAAATGATTTTTAAAAAAAATCAGATAAGTCTCTATGGAGATTTTCAATCATCCAGTCATGGTTGGTCCAAAAATATTTTTCAAAATGCAATTGGAGGAAAATTGAAATATTTTCAAGGAAAAAACAAGAAAATCCACTTGCCTTTTGAAAAGCATTTCTGGGACTATCAGACAAGTCTCTTTTTAAATAATTCCATTTATCTCATTTATTTTCCATATTTCCATATTTTTTTAAAAATACACCTAATGCATTTTAGAATTTTGAGGCTAAATAAACACTGAGAGGAAATGGGAGAATAAATGCAATTTACAAAATGTAGAAGAACAGAGTTAGAAGGGACTTTGAAAACCTTCTAGTCTAACTTCCTTCTCAAGCAGGTGACCCT